GCATGCTCTCAAAGTCATTGTCATAGCCATGGTTACCACCAGAGCAGAATGTGAGAGACCCTGGATCCCTATGAGGAAAGAAGAGTTTGCCAGTTGTAATTAATTATATAAGTTTCTGAATATAGACCTAAATGATTACTGAGCCCCATGAAGCGATAAAGGGGCAAAATTACACCCCACTAGAGTTTAGCTCAAGTGCCAGGACATGATTATGCCTTACAACAGTGTACCAGAAACCTTTACAGAGTATGACTTCATGTCCATTAAATGGGGAAAAGCATTTATACCCTTCTGGAAGAAATTAAACTGAGGTAAACTGTGTTTAACTTTGTGGCTAACATTATGAATCCCTGTACTCTAAAACACATGGCTACAACTGTAACAGAGAATGTCTAAGACTGTAGCACCATAAATACCTCTCAAACAGCCATTTAGTGTCAACCAGGACGCTGACATCTTCAATGCGACGACTGTTGGCAAAGTGAAGGCGCTTTGGTAGGTTCGCCTTCAGGTACGGCTTGATTTTTTGGTCTGGCTTCTTACACTGAAATCATGAGAGACACTCATTCGTAATCCAATCCTGGAACATTTTTGTTGCATACAGATGTGGACAAAATTGTTGGTACCCTTCGGTCAATGAAAGAAAAACTCACAATGGTCACAGAAATAACTTTAATCTGACAAAAGTAATAATGAATAAGAATTCTATAAATCTTAACCAATGAAAGTCAGACATTGCTTTTCAACCAAGCTTCAACTAAATTATTTAAAAAATAAATGCATGAAACAGGCCTGGACAAAAGTCAGCAGGTATTTTGGCCCACTCCTCATGTGCAAACTGCTCCAGCTGTTTGTGGTTTGAAGGGCGCCTTTCCCAGACTGCATGTTTCAGCTCCTTTCAAAGATGCTCAATAGTATTAAGGTCAGGGCTCAGAGAAGGCCACTTTTAAATGGTCCAGTGTTTCCCTCTTAGCCATTCTTGGGTGTTTTAAGCTGTGTTTTGGGTCATTTTCCTGTTGTAAGACCTGCGACTGAGACCAAGCTTTCTGACACTGGCCAGCACATTTCTCTCTAGAATCTCTTGATAGTCTTGAGATTTCATTGTACCTGCACAGATCCAAGACACAATGTGCCAGATGCAGCAAAGCAGCCCCAGAACACAACCGAGCCTCCCCCATGTTTCACAGCTGGGACAGTGCTCTTTTCTTGATATGCTTCATTTTCCATCTGTGAACATACAGCTGATGTGCCTTTGCAAAAAAATCCCATTTTTGTCTCATCTGTCCACAGGACATTCTCTCAAAAGCTTTGTGGCTTGCCAACATGTAGTTTTGCATATTCCAGTCTGGCTTTTTTATGATTTGTTTTCAACAATGGTGTCCTCCTTGGTCGTCTCCCACTTTGGCTCAAACAACGACGGATGGTGTGATCTGACACTGATGTTCCTTGAGCATGAAGTTCAGCTTGGATCTCTTTAGAAGTTTTCTGGGCCCTTTTGTTACCCTTCGGATTATCCGTCTCATTGATTTGTCATCAATTTTCCTCCTGCGGTCACGTCCAGGGAGGTTGGCTACAGTCCCTTGGAGCTTAACTTTCTGAATAACATGTGCAGCTGTAGTCACAGGAACATCTAGCTGCTTGGAGATGGTCTTATAGCCTTTACCTTTAACATGCATGTCTATGATTTTCTTTCTAATCTCCTGAGATGACTCTTTCCTTTGCTTTCTCTGGTCCATGTTGAGTGTGGTACTCACCATGTCACCAAACAACACAGTGACTACCTGGAGTCATATGTATATGTCCACTGACTGATTACAAGATTGTAGACACCTGTGATGCTGATTAGTGGACATACCTTAGATTAATGTCCCTTTGGTCACATCATTTTCATTCTTTCCTGGGGGCACCATCATTTTTGTCCAGGCCTGTTTCATGTATTTATTTATTTTCAAATAATTCAGTTGAAGCATGGTTGAAAATCAATGTCTGACTTTCATTGGTTAAGATTTATAGAATTTTTATTCATCGTTACTTTTGTCAGATTAAAGTTATTTCTATTTGACCATTGGGATTTTTTTCTTTCATTGACCGAAGGGTACCAACAATTTTGTCCACATCTGTATCTTGTTGTTTTATACATTGTAATTGCCAATATGTTACAATATTTTTCCTTTTAAATTCCTTTAAAAAATCTTAAAAATCTTTCATGTAAAACTAAACTCTCAAGAATAAAGAATTTGATAACATACAGAGGGGGAAATCCCCTGATCCCCTGCTGAATTTGTAAGTTTTCTCACTTAAAAGAAAAGATTTTTCTTTCTGACAGAATATCAGAACAGTCCATTGTCTCTGCCCCGCCCTCCCCCCACAAAAAAACAAGAAAGAAATGACATAAAAATTATAACATGATTTGTTCACCATTGAGTTAAATAAGTATTGGCTTGCCTATAACCCAGCCAGAATTCTGGCTTCCATTAATTAGCTGTGCCAATCACTTACAGGTACTTCAACTCTCGACTTGACTACAAATAACTACATATAACTCTCGACTTGTTATATGTAACACATTTCTCCAGGGAATCAGTTTCTTCCTTTCCAACATCATGTTTCTTACATCCTTTGACCAAAGATATGTCAAAGGATGTGAGGGATGAGATTGTAAACCTGCACAAAAATGGAGTGAATGGGCTCTAAGACCATTAAGAAAAAGTTTTGTGAGAGGGTAACAACACTTGGGTAACTTGGTGTTAAGTTTAAAGAAATGGAAGAAATATAAAATGACTATCAACGGATGGTGTCATGTACAGTAAAACCTTGGCCACGAAGATGAATCGTAGATGGGTGTTCCAGCTCGACAGCGACCGAAAACTTACCAGCAAGGTAACAAAGAAGTGGGTAAGAAAAAACTACCATAAAAAGACAGTCCATTTCTTTGAAAGTGAAGAAACAAATTCAGCAGGGATCAATAAGTATTTTCCTCACTGTACATTTTGGTAAGAAATGTAAAAAAAAATACTCACAGTCATATTAGCAACAAGTCCAGCAGAGTCCCCTGTTTTATAGGGAAACATTTATGTCATTGCAGAAAGTTCAAAGCCAAGGCACGGCAATTCAATCGTGTTTCATTTAAAATTCAAATTTAAACGGCAATTTGAAGGAATTTTCCTGTGTGATATGTTTGTTAGTGAGATATCACAAATAGCTTTGTAATCGACAGATTTGTTCTTTTTTCAGTCAGCAACTAAAGAGTCTTAGAGAGACACAACTCGTCTGTGCAGGAGTGGAAACATATCGTATGATTCTTTCTCCTTTTGGCATCGTTGCCTCTTTTTCAATGTCTGCCTTTTAGTAAAGCTCTGAGAGCATCTACATCTACAATGTTGTGTGATGCATTTTCAACAGAAACTAAAAATCAAGTCATCATAATCTTCCAAATTTAAGAACTAAAAACAAGCATTTTATCAAGAGTAAATCAGATATGTTGGGTCAGCCATGGACAGGTGAAACTAACTGATAGACATCCAAGCCTTTTCTGCTGGATGCCTCAGGCATCAAGCCTTTTTACTGTCTCTGAAACAGCCATGCCCTGATGTTGTACTGATATGGCTGCAACATTCAAGTATGACCATGTTCAAACACAAAAGAGACCTCGGTAATCTCGCAGATTTCACATGCTTTAGGAACCATATAGTTGCTCACAACTTCAAAAAGCTGGTGAAACCTATCATCACCCCACCTCCTCATTCTTTGTGTGATCAAAGACAAGCAGCAGAGCACTTTGTTGTTGCATTTACTTACACGGTGCGTCTTTTCTCTTGGCTCTGATGCGTCCGATGGGACCCTCAGTTACCACATACATGCTGGTTTCGCCCACGAGTTCCTTCATTGTTTCCTTTCTTTCACAGCTTGTTTCCTCCATACCTGCAGCAACATTCAGCTGTTACGTTACAGCCTTATTTTCTTCAGTGGAACTAAAAACAAACAAAAACTCTGGAATGCTTTATTCCTTATGTGGAATACTCATGAACCATTATGATCCCGTTCTAGATGGTGGTAGAGAAGTAAAGATAAAGTAAGATCAAAGTGAATAAAGGCAGGTGAAGATGATGCCTTCTTATTTCCCAGTACTGTTTTAAATGCTCTGGTCTTTGTAGCCATGACTCTGAATCATGTTGGACTGATTTTATGAGGCAAGCCAAGGATTGTTGTAAAGCTACACGCATGGTAAACAAAGAGCACATGTAAACATTTCTTTGAACACATGTGACAGTCGTGTGTTTTTACTCTGAGTTTGTTACCATGATCAGCCACAATAATGATGTTGAGACAGCGGTGTAGATTAATTTGCTTCAGTCCATTCATGAGCTGACCAATGATCTTATCCACACCCTGGAGTGATGTAATAACCTGGAGAAAACAAATTAAATGTTCAGATAAATACGACACAAATAATGTTGTTGTACTTTAAACCTGTCATGCAGGAATTATGACAACCTCCATGAGAATTTTTATTCATCTTTAGGAATGAAAATATGAATAAAAACAAGGAAACCCTGATTGAGGTTGTCAAAATTCCTGCATGACAGGGTTAACATCATCATACACCTATAGTAACATTAAACAGCCAGTGGGTGGCATGGTATGGAGGGACACATCAGTGTCCAATGTAGTGGTTTATGTGCATCAACACTGACACAAATTCAAGGAAACAGCCTTTGAATAGCTGTAACTGCAGTGACCACTATGCCTGAAAGGGTTAAATTACTGAAAACAAAGTAACACGAAAGCGGAAGAAAAGTATCCATGACTGAGCAATGAC